GACATTAGGATCCTCTGTTTTCGATTGAGACAATGGGTGTTGAGGTTGTAACGTCTGGTGGATTTGAGGTTGCTCCGGCTCCTTTCGAGGGGAAATCTGAGCAGAACGGGAAGGTGAACCAAGGAAAAGGAGACAAAGTCTCCATCAAGTTTGGTTCACATGGTGACCAGCCAAAGAAAGGCGAAGACAAGAAAAACAATGTGTTGAGCTCTGATGTACCCAAAGATGCATCAGAAGAGTGGCCTGCGGCCAAGCAGATCCACGCTTTCTACTTTGTTAAATACCGTTCTTACGATGACCCCAAGATGAGAGCTAAGTTTGAGCTTGCTGATAAAGAGCTTGAGAAGTTGACCGCAGCTCGGGGCGTAGTTTTGGACAAATTGAGAGCTAAGAGGGTAAGTTTTTGGAGCTTAGAGGAATCTTGTTAGGGATTTTCATTCTTTCTTGTGGAATTGTGTTGGATTTTAGTTGTAATGTGGGAAGTTTTTGTAATGCATAGGCTGAGAAATCAGAGTTATTCACTCTGTTGGACCCGTTGAAGTCAGAGCGCAAGGGATTCAACACGATGTTCGATGAGAAAAGAAAGGAAATGGAACCATTGCAGCAGGCACTTGGAAAGCTAAGGAGCAATGACGGTGGGACCAACCGTGGACCTGCTATCTGTTCTTCAGAAGAAGAGCTTAACAATATGGTAACAATCTACTACTACTTCTTCAGTCGATACTCTTGAGAGCTTCTTTTACCTTCTCAGTTGCTTTAATTGGCTTTTGCTTGGGTTTGTGGAAAATGAAGATATACAGCTTCCAATATCGGATTCAACACGAAAGCATTCCGTTAACAGAGGAGAAGCAGCTTCTCAAAGAGATCAGGCAGCTTGAAGGGACAAGAGATAAGGTCATTGCTAATGCGGCTATGAGAGCCAAAATCAAAGAAGCTATGGGTCAGAAAGATGATATCCAAGGTCAAGTTAAGGTAAGAGAGTCGTGGTTGGGTACTCTGGCTTCGTGCAGTTATAGCCTGTAGAAATTTGCTTCATATGAGCTTTTTGTGATGTTTTCGCAGCTAATGGGTGCTGGTTTGGATGGAGTGAAGAAGGAGAGGCAAGCAATTTCAGCAAGGATTAATCAGTTGAGTGAAAAGTTGAAAGCAACGAAAGATGAGATTCAAGTGCTGGAGAATGAGCTGAAGGCTGTGACCGAGAAGAGGGAGAAAGCTTATTCAAACATTCATGAGCTGAGGAAGCAACGTGATGAGACGGTACAAACACATATAGTTTGAGAATTTCCTTGTGATAGAGAATGATTTGTGGGGATTGAAATACTCATCGCTTTTAGAATTCTTTTCTCATACAGAATTCCGGGTTTTACCAAGGCCGTAATGTGTTGAACAAAGCTAGAGACTTGGCTGCAAAGAAGAATATAAACGAGCTTGAGGCGCTCTCCAATGCCGAGGTTGAGAAATTCATCTCCCTCTGGTGCAGCAAAAAGAATTTCAGAGAAGATTATGAGAAGAGAATCTTGGCATCACTTGATGCTAGGCAGCTGAGCCGAGATGGACGGATGAGGAACCCCGAAGAGAAGCCTCTCATTGCTCCAGAGGTACCGCCATCAAAGGCAACACCTTCTGAAACCGAGGTTGTCCTTAAAGCTAAGGCAAAGCAGCAGCCAAAGGAGCAACCAGCTTCTGCACCTAAACCAGAAGAAACTGTTGTTCAGAAGACTGAGAAAGTTAAAGACGCAGTGAAAGTAAAGA